CTGCCTAGTACGGTCGGTAGTAGAAGTACCCCCGGTCTTCTAGCTCTAGAAGATGGTGACGATTTAGTCGACTCACATACTGTCTAATGGTGAGGTGGCGAGCAAGTTCGTTCGGGTGACAGCTTAACCGCTCTTTGTATTTAGCTGCCAGTCTCCGGATTTCCTCTTTGATAGTTCTAATTTTTAGGTGTTCGTGAATTAAACTTAAAAATAATACAATACTTATTTTCAAACAATGATAAATGACCTTTCGCGCCCCCTACATATAAACAAAGAACGTTAAAATGTCATACAGTTATCTCTAGCAAAGCTGAGAACAAGTTATTGTAAAACGACGTTGACAAGTCCTTTAATGCACATTATATGATACGTTTAGTCTGTCTGACCAGACAGCGGTCCGTCGATAAGGCTGAATACACAGGTTTCTTATGAATATTACAAATAAAATCAAAATTGATTGTTAATTTATAATTTTTATTTATTTTAATTCAGCGTTTGTTGCTTTTTCAAATAGCTGATATCTGACGTATTAAAGAGAATAACATAGAAGAGTATGTTTTAGTATTAAGTCCCGTCTATTAAAAAATATGCTCAACACTTTCTTAATTATTTTCAGAATTTTAAATATTGCCATGTCGCGTGCTATTTAAACCTGTAGCAATTTAACTTCAAGGCACGCGCGACTTATGTACTATGCATGAGCGGTAAGGTTATTGGGAGTGGCAAATATATTCACAGAAATACGGATAAACGTGTTTGTGAATCGTTAATGAGACGACCAGTAGGTTACGGGAGCGTATTTTACATGAATACTGTGCGAATCAGTGCTCCTTGTCGAACACCTGAAAAAAGTTTACTACACTTAACTGTTGTGTTAACAAACGCGATATGACTACCATTTAGTGCACAGTTCTGTTTGCCACCATTACATGATGGCACTGTGTTGCCATAGCTATATTTTTTTGTGACTTCTAAAACATTGCCATATAAGATTATACTCATATTTAGATTATTTCATATAAAGAAAAACTTTATACACTACATTCTGCTACAGATAATACAAATAAAAAAGTGCGTGCGTACAAAGTACACATGTCAGAAGTGAAACTTCTTTGGCAAACTAATTTTTAAGTCTTGTTCATATTTATATAAATCTAAATTTTAGATTTCCGAGACTTGGGAAAAAGAAAGATTTGTTGGAATTTAATTGTCATTGAAATATTAAGTGTCGAAAATAAATACAGATTATAAATTTAATTAAAATATATATATATATATATATTATGTATATATTTTTTTTCTCCATGGCTATTTGCTTTATGCTACGTTCGCCCTTTATCACTCTCTCTCAATCGGTCTCAATCGCTCTCTCTCTCTTTTCTTCGACAAAAACGCTGCATATCTTCGTGACGCTAATATTATTATTATTGCGTTTCATCCGTAAAAATTTTACCCTCATGCGCCTAAAGAAGTTTCACTTGAAAAATCTTGTTATTCAATACTTCGAATGTGTATTGTCTGAGTCATTCACAAAAATTATACTAAATTTTTTTTTAAATTGAGTAGGTAGACTGTCGAAATATAAAAAGGACCTAAGACCTTGAGACAACGACTGTTTTCTTTCCTAATAAACAAGGTTCTATTGTTACTCTTATCATTATGTCATCATTATGTAAATTTTTGGACGTAGCCCTTCTGCATTCTCATCCAACTCTGGCATTGCGCCTTCTGCATCCATTGCAGCCTACACGCTTTGTGATGCCGATCCATATTGTCGATGGGCGGCCCTTGGTCCATTCAAGGTGTTTTCGCTCGGATGTCTATGTTTTATTATTGGTTTGTGTTTTATTTGCCTTTATTTTGGTAACACCAGAGTAACTCGTTGTAACACATTTGATATTCTATAAACGTACAACATTTTGACTGTATAAAATTAGATGACAATGCACAATTTTTTGCTAAAGAGCAAAAACACAGTTTGTATTCATCTTGATTCTTGGCGAAGTCATAACAATTGACAGTTTGGTCATGCGTCCTAACATGGTTTTATCACCTTAGTACTTTGTGGATATCATCAGATGAATAAAGCTTCGTGTTTAAATCCATTCTCTTCATAAAACGATAGTGGCTCTGAACAATATTATATTACGAAAATTTCATTGACATACTTAATGTTGTGACACTACTAATAAAACATTATTTACACAATTCTAAATGGATTTTTACATAAGTATATTTGACAATTTATGTTTATACTTTCATAGATTGATAACTCCCGTAAATAATGATAATATTAAAATTCCACAATTGTTGACATATGTGATGTGTGGGCTGGCGTCAACAAAACATTGGTGACATTCAAATATATTACACAATATGTACATGAAGTTCCGATCTACTGTCTCCTACGCTTTACTGCTTTGGTACAATTTATTTTTATGATTTTTGTTTCTGGGAGGTATTATTGTAATAAACACGTATGACACAACTTTTCAATTATTTTGGTAAAATAAGGAAACTGTTTACTTAGTTTTGCCTGTTATCAATAATCAGGTTGAAACGTGGGGCTTTTGAGATTTCCAATTCTTCAAGTGTGTTAAAATGAGTGCGACTTTATAGTACATACTCCTAGTCCTTCATGCTCTCATTACTGGAGGTTGGCCGTCAGTATCTTGAAGCGTGTCTTGTCCTGTGCAACAACTCCCTAAACGAAGCCAATATTTTCCTTCTACCAACACGCCGTTAAACAAGGGTAAAATCCCTGGATTAGTATTAATAGTTAGTACTTCAATTACATATTTTTATAAACCACATTGAACTTACCATATTGTGTCATAAGTGTTACGTATACACTATGAATTAATTAAACGCCCATTCCGTACACTCCAAGGTCAAAAGACCGGTTTCGTTAATTGCTCATTGAGGTATTTTTATACCTTATTTACCTATTAAAAATTAAGCCTTAATAAAGGCTTGTTAATGAAATTTTGTGTAATCAAATAGCTCAGTTGCTAGTAGTTTTCAGTTGCTGAACCCGTGGCGCTTTTAGGTCTGACCTTCAGATAGCTTGCCCTCAGACTCATGCTGTCGACTATTTGGAATTAGGGCATGCTGGTTTCCTCACGATGGTGTCCTTCACCAAATTAGCTAGTATTAAATGAGCAATTTTGAAGATCAACGAAGTATAGCTTATACTTGCTATACTAGTACTACAACTTAGTTACGACCCTAATATGGACCTTCTAGGTTTAGGATTTATGTTATGTCATATTCCTTGGACTAACACTCAAACGTTCAGTCAATATCACATGGTAAAACTTAAACTTAATTGATAAAGCAGACAATAGTAGTTTTACCAAATAAGTTTAAAGTTTTAATACATAATTAAATAGGGAAATATTTCTATGCAAAATCTTGAAGCGCATACAATTGGTTTATTTGTTCGTTAGCTTGTTAACTTTGTCTATTGGTAGTAGTAGTAATATGATTGCTATAGTATAAACAATTGTACCTCCTCGTTCATAGAAACTTAATCCGTCTAATTATGTTGAAGCTGTGATATAAATAAAGATATTATGAGTACGGTAAGCGCGATACTTTACTATTATGTCTTTTGTTTCAATGTGTGTGTCAAGTATTAAAAAGAGTGGCGGTGAGTTTCTTGCCAGTTCTTCTCGTCCTTGATTTTAGTACTGGTTGTAAATGTAAATTTAGTTTTTTTTTTATTTGATATCGTAACTTAAAACGGTGTAATTAGACTGTTTATAAATAAAGAAGTTTGTACTTTGATGACTGCATTAATTTCTCTACAATTCGGAGAATAAAACATTGCAATATAAAATCAAGAAACATTAACAGTTACACAGAACTTGGTTAGATAAACAAATAAAATACGTATTGTGACATATTACGAGAACTGGAGACGCAAAAGTAAACACGATGTGAAGTGTAAACTGTGTAAGGACAAACGTTAGATTATGGTGCAACTACTCTAATGTTAGCGATAGAATAATTTTGCTCTTATGTATTAAATAATTGTTATAAACACGCAGTTTCTGGTGATATGGAAATTTTATTTATATATAGAGTTTGTCTTTCTAGTTATTTTTTTATTACTATTATTGACCAAAGAAGTTTAGAAAACAATTGACATGTCTGTGTATGATAAACACTTCAAATTATAGAGTAGGGAATTATTTACATATACAGATACAGCGTGTTTCTGGTGATATACCAATTGAAATTTTTGTTCAATTTATCGAGTATTTTTCAAAGGACCGGATGTTTTTTGAATTATCGAGAGATTCAATATAACGAATGACAAATTATCTGTATATTTAATTAAAAATCTAAGATTCTCTGTTATAGCTAAGTTAAAGTCAAAATAACTTTATTCCTATAGGTAAACAAGTACACTTATGAACGTCAGAAAAGAAGTGAATTAATTCTTAATTTACATTGACTACCAGTTCGCAAGTCAAGGGCGTAAAGCGGGCAAGAAAAACTGGCAAGAAACTCTCCGCCACTCTTCACCACTAAAGAAACATATATTTGGAATCATTATTTTATTTCACCTCAAATTGATTATAAAAGACGATTTTCAATTACGAAAAAATGAGCCAAATTAGTTTTTATTAGCGTCGCAACCCCACTACCCTTAATTTTATCTTAGATATAAGCTCATGTTTTAAACCATTAAAGCCAGTGGTTACCCTAACAAAGAGTTTTATTTAAACATATAAACAAACTGACACCGAACATAATTACCGTGTCTACATAAAATATACGTTTTAAATAAGGCACAGCATCCAAAGTTGTAGTAATTATTGTCTTACAAGCTTTCGAATTTTTTACTTTGCGTTTAGAGTCATAGGTCACATTATGTGGTTTATTATTAGAAGGGAATTATGTAATTGAAGGCTTAAGTGCTCTACATTTTCCGCTATTATAAGTCACGATTTATGAAAATGCCACGAAGTCATTTCATTTACACGCAGGTTATGGTAGGGTTACTTAATTATTTTACTTGTGGGTTTATTAATAGAGAACGCGGGTTTAGGAGAGTACCCTCTTTAAGTGACTTGGAAGTTGGGCTCGCAGGAGCGCAGCAGAGGCTCTTGACGAGGTTTAAGGCTGATGGGTTTAGTGGGTAGAGGTTCATTTCTCCACACGAACCGACCCCCACACTACCCGCATCACTTCTATAAATTATTTTCCAAACAAAAGAGGGTTAACATGAAATAAAGGCCTTAAGGATATACTTGGGTTAAATTAAATTGACTTATATGTAAGAATATGTCTGCCCTATTGAGGACTTATCAGAATGCAAATGAATTCTAAAAACAATAGAATAGCAACATATGAGAGTTTCTTGCCAGTTCTTCTTGCCCGCTTTACGCCTTTGACTTGCGAACTTGGTAGTAAATGTAAAGTTAGAATCAATTTAACATCTTCTCTGTTAACGTTCATAAATGTACTTGGGAACCAAGTACATGATATATTATATTTTTTTTTTATATGTATGATATATTATTATACATATGAATAAAGTTGTTTTGAGAGTATGAGTGAGCAGTGTTGGCCTAGTGGCTTCAGCGTGCGACTCTCATACCTGAGGTCGTAGGTTCGATCCCCGGCTGTGCACCAATGGACTTTATTCTATGTGCGCATTTAACGTTTGCTCGAACGGTGAAGGAAAACATCTCATCGGAAACCGGCATGTCTTAGACCCAAAAAGTCGACGGCTTGTGTCAGGCACTGGAGGCTGATCACCTACTTGCCTATTAGATTGACAAATGATCATGAAACAGATTCAGAAATCTGAGGCCAAGACCTAAAGAGGTTGTAGCGCCACTGATTTATTTTTTATTTTTTGAGAGTATGAACCAATATTTAAACCTTTGAACATTTGAGTAGTTTAGTAAAATCAATCTCTCAACTACTAGTTTATGGCAGTAGCTATAAAAACTCC